TTGAAGCAAGCGGTATATCTCTGAAACTCAAGGGATATCAGGTATGACCCCTGAACTGAGACGTCTTCAAGCCTTTTGACAAGTGGTGTTTCAAAATCCTAACTCGTGTAGGCTGGTGCCACCGAATACGCAACAAGAAGATTATAAAACGTGTGCCCGGATGTATAAAACAAAGACTTCAGTTTGTGAATATGCTTAGCACCAAAAGATTTGTGGTTTGGTCATGTATTACGCACGCCAAATTGTTGCTTCCCAAAATGAGTGCTGTTTTTCGTGCGTAATTCAGTGGTACAAGCAAGTCAACATTTTGGCCTAGCAGACAGACATGAAAGCGATTATAAGAAATCATGAATACCGTCGGTACGGTTCATCTTCCACGATGGGGTCGGGGTGTTCCCTCTGTTGGAGAGGTTGAACCATGCGGCTGCGTTCCTGTTGTCAGTTTCTTCCAAGATCGCTTGAATGAATGATCAGGGGCATAGGAACCTCGGAGCGATTGCAGTAGCCTAGCACTAGGTCATTTCACCATCCACTTGTATTATTTTCTTCACACCTTGTAAGACAAAAAGCCTGTGTTTGACACAGATGTGCTGCCGATGATGAGGATCATGGCCGTGGACCGGGACGGAAAGCGGCATCCACTTCACAAAGCAGGCGTGTCCCACCGAAACAGCACCAAACCATGCTGAACAGTATGAAAGTTGTTTGGAATTGAGCGACGCGTACATCAAGTTCGGAATACTAAGTTCGGATTTCTCTCAAATTAATGTTGATCGTCATAAAGTATCCGTGACCGCGTGAGAATATACGGGGATCTCACCAAAATTTGACAAGGGTTTCCATTCTCCCCAATATGATGATTGATAGGATAGTAAAACGAATACTAGATCTTCAAAATAGTGTCCAGCGTTTTGTGTATCCTGGAGGCTGTATTTACCCGAATGTAGTGTGACGGATGAGTTCAACGCATGAATATCTACGACCCGCGTCTCATTTGCTAATTTGAAGCAAGCGGTATATCTCTGAAACTCAAGGGATATCAGGTATGACCCCTGAACTGAGACGTCTTCAAGCCTTTTGACAAGTGGTGTTTCAAAATCCTAACTCGTGTAGGCTGGTGCCACCGAATACGCAACAAGAAGATTATAAAACGTGTGCCCGGATGTATAAAACAAAGACTTCAGTTTGTGAATATGCTTAGCACCAAAAGATTTGTGGTTTGGTCATGTATTACGCACGCCAAATTGTTGCTTCCCAAAATGAGTGCTGTTTTTCGTGCGTAATTCAGTGGTACAAGCAAGTCAACATTTTGGCCTAGCAGACAGACATGAAAGCGATTATAAGAAATCATGAATACCGTCGGTACGGTTCATCTTCCACGATGGGGTCGGGGTGTTCCCTCTGTTGGAGAGGTTGAACCATGCGGCTGCGTTCCTGTTGTCAGTTTCTTCCAAGATCGCTTGAATGAATGATCAGGGGCATAGGAACCTCGGAGCGATTGCAGTAGCCTAGCACTAGGTCATTTCACCATCCACTTGTATTATTTTCTTCACACCTACGACTGTAAGACAAAAAGCCTGTGTTTGACACAGATGTGCTGCCGATGATGAGGATCATGGCCGTGGACCGGGACGGAAAGCGGCATCCACTTCACAAAGCAGGCGTGTCCCACCGAAACAGCACCAAACCATGCTGAACAGTATGAAAGTTGTTTGGAATTGAGCGACGCGTACATCAATGCGTCGAACGAACAAGAGGATGAAAAAATCGTAAAACAGTACTCATGTCCTCGAGGCAACACCTTTGTGGAATCATAAAATGACATCAACTCGTTGAACTGATAGTCTACCAACGAATCTGGGTCAATGATATGAAGCAATTCCAATATGATGTCAACTCTCGGGGGGTAGAATAGCCATTTATGGGACCTGATGCTACATCCTCCTCGATCCAGGGGGTTCGGCTCTTCGACAAGGAGTTGCAGTGAAAAAATTCATGCCAACGAAATAGTTCCCTCAATGTAGAAGGTTTCTCGATGGAGATGATCTCTATGTGAACTGGACAGTTCACCAACTTTCGATTGTAGTGTTGTGACACAGGTGCATCGAGGTTTGCTGATAACACTCGAAACTCGATTACAGATAGCATTATTTCATTATCTTGGCCAAATATCTGAACTGCCATCAAACATAAACATTTCCGAATGGTCCCGAGCGTGCTCGGCTGATTCGGTCAATATGCGGAAGTTTGGCTCCCATTTGTGTTGAAAGGAAACCACCTTCACTACGTATGGAATATAGTCGAGGTCTAGACTCGGGGTGAAGAGGCAACACACGTTTTCTGAGGACACTTTCAAATGACATGTGAAATGACGGGGATGACGCATCGCATGTCGTTGAACTGTCTCAGTCTACCTCAGTAGTGTAGGCAAAATGGCAAAGAATAAAGGTGATCAGGCTTAGCACCATGTCAAGTTATGGAAGCCTTTGTAAGTCATTCTGCAAGAAACTCAATCGTAGTATTAAAAACTGAGTACCTCTGTGAGAAATCAAGAATTGATGTTGTTAGAGCCCGTGTATTAAAACCCTATTCCAGGGATAGAGAAGATTACACATAAGGCTTGTATTAAAAACTGCATCCTGAGAAATCATTGCTCAAACCCAATGCATGAAGTAGGTCCCGAAGGTCTGTAGTAAGTTCCCTGAATAATGAACCCTGCGTGCGCACATGCGCCTGTTGTTTTCGACTGACAGGATGAATTCGGCTTTCCGTATGATTGATACCAACGAAGCTGGTCGGGACACAGTGTAGATCAGTCAAGAGGCCTCATGCACACATCAGCGGCTCGACTGCAGACCTCCTGCTGGGTTCGTCGCTTCACACAGACCAGTGTACCAGGTTAATTTGAGATTGTGTGGAATACAAACCACTAAGACAAGTTTCTTATTTGAAACTTGACTAGAGAACTTCACAGGCTTTACTCATACCATGGACTCACTGAGATAAAAGTTAAGGATGTGGGACAGTGACTGTTGCTTCGTGAATTAAAACGATGAGTAAACGTAGTGGGCAGCGAGTCAGTACCTGTACACTAACCAATGCCTCACTTCACTGCCACTGACTAATGAAGCAGGAACATTGAGTTCCCGCGATGTAGGATATAGGCGACGTTGCCACGTCATTAGAGTTCTGCCTAACTTCCAGAAGACATCGGATGGAATACTCATCCGTCCAGCTACGATCACTACCTTCTGCATGGCATGTAATGTGAGAGACAGTCCCGTCCATAGTACACCGGTAATTTGGATGGTTCAGTCTGTATCGTGTAACCCGTGTTTCAAACGGGTACTTTCTGGTTGAGCATACAGACACAACAAACTCCACTTACAATCGACAACGTAATGGAGGATTTTATTGTCGTGTAAGATGCGTCGTGTTTGAAGCTCCGTTATTATAAATCGAAAGAATGGTGAAAACAAAAATTCATAAACTAAAGGAGTCAGACGAGTAAAATGCTTCAGTAATATCTCTCCACGATAGAAAGACATATTCTTCAGAAACCGGTCGGTAAGGAGACCGAGGGACACCAATATGAACCGGGAAAGGTATGCCAAGGACGCTCATTTCATGTGACACTGTCACCGCTGTTTTATCTAACGTCCCTATATTGTATACCCGGACTTGGAAACTCGCAGACCAACTAGTTCACGTTGCTAACGCGTTGGCTCAGCACTTCACTTTTACAGTAAATTATGGAGTTCGACCACCAACAGAAAACTGACCCGCTTTGTATTGGGTCAATTTCGAATGGCCTTATCAGGGCCTGTTTTCGTGGCCAATCAGGTAAGTCAAAGTGCGTGGGCGGATCGGCATATTTAGACGACAGGTAGCGTACCAGGTTTTGCTGCAGGTGGCCTTTAGCGAGTGGAAATGCATCTGTTTTCTACGTGAAGTCTGATTTTCTTATTTGCTTTCAAGAAACTTGTTGACTAATTCATTCCTTAAAATGTCGGTCACTGGGATTTTGGTGGATAAAACTGACAACTACATAACCAGAATAAGCTGAAGCAGGACCGTAGATGGATTATGGGGAAGAATGCGGTTATGTACGATCAATGCATATCAACAGTTCCAAATAAGTCAAAAAAACAAGGGATTCTGGTTCATCATCACCACTGACAGTAACACCAGTTGAAAGCACCATGACTCACTGCAACCATGGTTGCACACGGGCTTGGATATTGCCAAGGCACCCACACCTAGACAGGAGGACGATTAGGGTCCTCAACCAAAACCTTTAGTTTTGAAAGCCTAATCGCAAAGCAGCGGTGGTTGGCATAAGATCGTCAGAGGAGCCTACATTTTAAGGAGCAAGCTGCCACGTACGTTACAACCCACAAACTGGAGAGCCAGGAGACTGTGTTGGTTAGATCTCTAGCGATTGACCAACCTGGATTAAGGAGGTGTAAAAACAGTCACACTACGATAAGGCTTGGTTGCAATAAGAACTACTCCACTCCTCATACCACTGTATTTTTCCTTACCAAATGAACCTGAGAAATTCGGTGTACATTGAAACCTGCCACTATCATCAGCACCAGCACCTGTGCTTGCGGACATTTTGTTTTTCCCCGTAGGCACCTATTATTGAGGAGTTCCAGGCTACCTGCGAGATACGTTTAGAAATGTTTCCGGTTTCTCACCACACGATCTATTGTTCGTCCTACAAAATCCTAGAAATGATTGAAGCGGGCGATAAAACAGCTCAAGAATTTTCATAAACACCATGAACTTTAGGAAAAATAACCACTGCTGTAGCTGAGTGAAAGCTCAAAATGCCATTTCAAATTAGAGTGCTGTAACGCGCAGATTTCTAAATCATGATGATTGCGATAAGACCAAGACACGATAGGCACCGGTGAGTAGGAAAAACACTGACTGGATCACGCAACTTTCAAACAACCTACAAGTTAGACGGCAACGGCAATGGACAAACCGAATCAGAAAATCGTCAGGTTAGAAATTATGCGAGCGATTAATTCGACTACAGTAGGATACGAACATGATCGGTAGGTTATTGCCTGTTGCTTGAGTCCACCAGACGGACGATGGATCACCGGAGTCTTCGATGCGTCATCCTCTTCCTCTATTTCATCGCTTGACCGACTCAATTTCTCAAAAGCATCCCCGTAGTGTTCGTCATCGTCTGGTTGTTCAGAATCAGTGAGTGATGGGTGGAGACGTACGGAGTCACCATCGCTGTCTGTCGAATACGTTGAGTTCGAAGTCAGTTCTGATGCCCGACTGGACATCGATCGGGTAACTGCAGGAGACTTGGACGGTACTGGTCTTGGGGTGTTGTAGTCAATACCCAACAATTTCGCTGCCTCCGGTGGACAACTAAGTCCATCTAGAGGGACGACAGAATCCTCATGTTCGGTCGCAGCAGACAAAGGAATGTCGGCTGTCGGGCTGTCGGCGATATGTACGGTGCGGGTCTCTGTGATGGGTGGTGAATACTTTAGTTCATCAAGAGAGATGAGGGGATCTGCTTGTTCAATCCGAGCAATGAAGGTCTCCGTGGCGGGTAGTGAAGGAGGATTATGAGGAGACTCTTGATGACTGACTGGATGGGAGTGGAGGTCATCAAGTTTTAACAGCTGAGCCGTCGCCCCCACTGCATTTGCAACGTTGAGAGTCACGTCCGCACCAGGAGGTTTGGTTCGATCTAATGTGGAAGCAAGATCTGCTGACCTGGTTTCAGCAAAATCAGCAGGGTACAAAGATGTTGAGTCGTCAGGAACACAACCCTCCACACTGAAATGTGGATGAGATTTTCGAAGTCTTTCTCCAGGCGATGGAAGAGAAGCCGCAGTACCAACCGGAAAAGTTCCATGTTCATCAGCCTTCAACAATGGAATCGATGTCCCTATCGTGCTCGGGTTAAGACTTGCTGGCACGTAAAGAAACGTTTCTTCCGAAGGTTCAGGTAGCACAGGGGAGGAGGTTTTGAAGGCGGAAGGACTCTCGACCATGGAAAACGGCGTAAGGATAGGAGCGCGCATCCAGCCATTCATGGGAGTCTTATACAAATCACCTGAACTACCCGTAACTGAGCAATCAATTCCAGAACTGGGTGGTGAGTGGGGTTGCCGGATTTCTGTTTCACCTTCGATCTTGAAGATTGAAGAATTAGTGAAATGCGGTATGCTTGAAACTTCTGTTTGGTCAGCTTTCGGTTGCAACACAGGCATTCCAAGGACCTCGGCGCTAGTAAGTATTTCCTTTGAAAAGGCACCGGTTTTGGCAGGTTCCTCGTCCGTCTCCAGCCGATTTTCCTCCCTTTTAATGCTCCGGCGATCGATTGTAACAGGCCCACTGCTCTGCGATCCAGTTCTAATAAACGGTGAACTTGTAGGGCTTGAGACGCGCGGTTCTGGTTTATCCGTTGTTTCAGAATAGGTCTGCTGAATACCTGTGTTCTCCTGGACAGGGTCCAAGTGACGTCTCCTTGTACTGCGTCGATCTAATATTCGCAAAGAACTACGCTGAGAACCACGACGGGAAAGACCCGGCTCGGGGGTGTCTGACCTAACATCACCAATATTATTACTTAGGGAATCATCACCAGAGTGGTCTGAGGGTAACGAGCGGTCAGTCTCACCTCGTAGGCCGGTAGATGCTGGAATTTTGAGGGAATTGTGATTCTCCATGAGGACGGGTTCCTTATCAGGCAATTCTCCGTAATTTGTAGACTTGACTGTGTCTGAAGAAGCCGGTTTGTCCTCACACTTGGAGGATGTTACAGTCGATACCTCAGTGGCCAGGTTTGTTATTTCAGACAGAGCTGGTGGATTTTTGCTCCTCCTCGTGCTTCGACGATCAACCATCATAGGTGCCGTCCTCCGCGATCCGCTCCTCTGAAAAGGAGACACTGATGGGTTAGGAACTTCCGATGGTGTAGCTTCAACAGACTCGGTGGGCTGACCATCGGAGCCTGAGGCTGGATCTAACTGACGTCGGCGAGTGCTGCGGCGATCTAACATAATGACGGAGCTACGCTGTGAACCGCGACGGAACAGTCCCGTCGCTAGGCTGGTGGCCGAAGCTACACTACTGGTATTAGCAACGGAGGTATCAAGGTCTACTGGATGAGTCTCAGTCTTACTTCTGCTTGTCGCGCACTCATTGTTGTTGGCCTCCCGTTTTATAAGCTCCGCGGCTGTCAGCCCGTTGGGTAGTGCGCTCTTGTTAGCAAGATTCCCCATTTGCTTTCTTCGTAAGCTTCGCCCATCTCTAACCAGTAGGCTGCTGCGTTGCGACCCGGTACGTTGGAAAGGACTGGTTGAAGCCAATTCTGAACCAGTGCGTGCAGAGTATGCTGTGTTGAATAATAAAAGGCGGGTGGATAAACGGAGACAGGAAAAGTGGTCAACTTTGGGCAATTTAGGAGCGGAAAGTGCATACTGTCAACAGAGTGATATTGAGGACACAGTAATGATTGTATGTTTGTGAAGTTAAAGTGTGGCCGTGGATGGTGATCGAAAATTTGCCCAGAGATATTGTTTTGCTAGCTTAAGTCTCACGCTTGAGCTAAAAAACAGTCTGTAAAAAACTGTGAAGCCCGCTGGACCTGTAGACCTATGACTTCAACCAGTCAATCGACGGATGATAGCAGCCGATGCCAACTAAAATTGCACCTATACGTTGTTGCCTCTGGTTTGGTAAAAGACAGGGAATGGTTCATTACGCACGTGATTGCTCGAACAGCATTCTCTTACAGGTACCGCTGGGGCAATACGCATGACGCAAGCGGAAGATAATGTGATTGACCATCACTCGAGGTGATGTTTTGTGCATTCCAATCAACTGATTCACATGCGATTTGTTGGTTTCGAATACGAAAAGTACACTCCTAGCATCTATGGCGCAGGCGTCACAAAATTATTCGCCCAGGGCTACAGTGGGTTTGTCTGCTATGCTGATTCGGTTCTCAGAAGAAGCGACTCGCCCCTGGTAGACAAACTAGTTATCTCAAATGTATTGGTCGGGTAGGATACGTACTTTATAGGTCAGAGAACCAAGTGACTTGTAGCGTTCCTTTCGCCCCGTCACGCGCACGGCAAAAATGACCCAAAGACGGTTGGTTTGTGGTTTAAAAGTGAATACTGGAGTCAGTGACCAGAAGATATTTTGACAATTGCTATCCACCTGGATGAACACCCCGGGGGAGACACAAGCGATTAGTGACATTGACAGTCGGATACTCAGTGAGGCTCGTGAATCGATGACATCACATTCGAATTGCAACTTCTCTATTTCAGCTCCACCAAACATAATGATGGTGACTTAACCACCGATTTCCAGTCTTGGCAGTCCCACCCTCACTCTCACCGCTTAGCGAATATGTGCGTTGGGGCTTGACGGAACATAGCTAATCACATTGAAGGCCTAAACTCAGGACAACGGGAGGGGGCATAGTATGCTCGCATGCCATTGTTAGATGTAACCTGAGTTAAGAGCCTAACGCATGACGCACACAAAGAAAAAAACACTTTTATCAATCCGACAACGTGAGGCGACAGCCCGCATCGTAAATACGGTAGCTATAGTCCATCTGAAGATTCGATACACTGCCCCAATACGGGAAGTCGAAAAGTCTCACTTGCAGGAAGGAAACGGGGTGCGGATTAGGTAGGAAATACTTCCTGGTTATTCGTGATTCTATTTCAAAAGGCGGTGCGGTGAATAATGAATGGACGCGTGCCTGTGTTGCTTCGATAGTGTAAAAGTGAAGCACTAGTGATACGCGCTTAAACAAGTCAACACTGCCGGAAGTGTACAGTTTGCAAAAAGTTAGGAATAGTAGAAAATATTTCGGCAGGAGTTCTTCAAACTGTTTCCAAACCCTTGATTGTCTAAGGCAACCTGGGCGCTAAAGTTGAAACTTGTAGATCTATTCGAGTCTTTGCGACGTCTGCAAATCGGCTGCCTTCTTGAAAAATCAGGCGAACTGGTTTCCGGTCTCCTGAGTTAGAAATCCAAAGAGACACAAATACTATCCCGTAACCAGTCTTCTTCACATGCATTTCAAGCATCCGCATGCGCTAAACCTTAATTACTAACAGCAAACGGGAAGACCAGACCCTATAAAATCTGGTTTATCAACTTAACCATGCGTGGTTTAGTGAGGTCATCGTGCAAAGCATATGCTCAAAAAGCAGCGTGGTCAAACAACAAACGCAGTGGGTTGAGTCGATGTGAGAAAACTCTAAAAAGCATAAAACTGCTTGGAATAGGAGTGCCATTTGGCCGAAAACTACCTGGGACTATCAACTATCCCAGTGACAAGAGGTAATCGGGCGGGGAACAAGTAAACACGTGCATATATGCGCATGTGTGTCTGTGATTTGGATGAGCACTGCTGGTAACCACATCAACAAGAAACAGAGGTCTAAGAAAAGGAAACGGGTGCGCAGTTTGCCACAAGATGCAAACGGTTGGAAATAGTAACAGGATCATTGTAATTTTGAATGGAAGTCCTCGCAGCACTACGAAAGTGATAACTATCTCAAGAGCGCTTGCAATCACGCTTCGGTTCACAGGAACAATACAGTACGTCATCTAACCCTCTTTGAAAGCTTTCTATGCGCCTTCCTTCCATCTTCAGCATTCTAAGGTTTGGTCAACCAAATGCATCACTACTGCATAGACCAGATGAAGACTACCGGCTGTAGAATATAAAAGCTGTTGGGTTCACCCTATGTGGCACTCCATCTTATCTCATTGGTCTGGTTGCTCACACTATGCTGCTTGTTTAGCTGTAGCCCGGCTCCACCACTTTGCTCACTTATACAACCCACAACCCCTGAAGCACATCGATCTCTCTGAAGATGGACTCTCTCTCTCAAGAAGGAGGGAATGATACAGCTCCAGCTTTCTATGCGTTACAAGGTGACCGCATTTCTGTACACCGAGTCAAACGGCTTTCTTCTGTATCCACTATTTCCATCACTGACAAGGACTTCGCCACTTTCAGTGTTATAACGGGTTCCCGCTAAATCCTTCTGGTCCAAGTTGAACGCAAACTAAAGGGGCTTCGTCTACCTGATGAGCCCCAAGAAGGGTGAAGCCAGTCATGGACTGTCGAGGAGTTTTCAGCAACCTTATGAGCGGTGTGTTACGTCTGGATGGCAAAGAATTGTATTGTTCATAACGGATATTAAAACAGCGACACTTTCTCAAGACATAGCTTTCGTTCAACACAAAGGAAACACGGATTCTAAACAGGAAGATTAACCTTTTCGTCAGTAACTCATCTCCCAACCGATAAGCCAGCGGTTAGGCTATCACTCACTTCATTTTCTACTTTAATGCAGATGCTACCAATCTTACACACTGCGCCTACCAGATGGTTCTCAGTGATGGTCAAATATTTTGTGTGATTGAGCTTTTAAGGAGTTGGCCACATCCTTTTTGAGGAGCATTTCAACCTGCTGATGTTTCCTGCTCGATGCGTCCGCACACGGACAAACTGAACTTCATTCTGAAGCTCCGTCCTGCAGAGTCTGTTCCATAGTGTGCATTTTTCGGGTTTCAGGCGTATGTTTCGTCAAGGCTTAAAAGACTAAAGCGTTTTTTAATTAACAGGTTTTCCAAATAATCACGTAAGAGGTTGATCGTGAGTTACCGGGGGTCGAATCTGTGTCGTTGAATAAGTACTACCAAAAGGTTGCAAATCTTGAACTCAATTTGCAGTCTTCCACATTACCCAGCACTATTCAACTGATAACGACATCCAAACTATTTTTGTTCTTCCACACCTAGCTAGGAACCGGTCCGCGTCTCTGGGAACACAATTCAGTGAGAATCCGGCCAGGCCCCAGTGAAAATTTGTGGAGTATTCAAACTAGACGGTTGATGATGCACTTCCTCAACCTCTTGATTTCTCTGCCCTATTCCAATAGGGCTCATCAGCATGATCATTTTGACAAAGAACAAAACGATTCCGCGGAGCAGAAATCGATAAAGTCACTATATTATCACAACATAGTTGGATAATCAGTGTAAGCTGCATTCAGCCTAATAGACGGCACTTTTAGTACCTTGGTTTTCTCAGAATGACCGGAACCCGAGGGATCTCCAGTTACGCGCAAGTTCGAACATGAAACTATTATTTGTGTTGTTCCCGCCTGACCATCACCATTTATTCATTTTGCAATTATTGGAAAATTCTGTTGGCACGAAGAATCCGCACTGCAAAAAAACGAACCCAAAAATCTCATCCTTCGATATGCCTTCCAGATAGAAGTGCCTTACACAGATGGGATCGCAAAAACTACTTCTCCCTCGGGGATTTTCTCACAAGGGGAGCGGAAGCACCGCAAACTATATGTGGATCAAATTATTCTGGAGTCTCAAAAACATGATCAACTGCCAAACTAATCACATAAGCTTATGCAGATTCGTTTTGTTGCTAACACTGTTCCGTTGAATCCAACACACACAGCATCTACAAATAATTGAAATAAACTACAAATTATCTCTCAGACTGTGCGTTAACACTCTTTTTTCGACTGGAATTCCAATTTGGAATTCCCTGCATGTGGTACTGATACAACTAGGCCGTACATCCTTCGGAAGTTTTTGCGGATGACATGTGATGCTTGTGCGATACTAATTAGCAACCATCAGCGGAAGTAACCGACAGAGTCGCAACTAGAAGAAAAAACAATTGAGTACCATGCTTGCGACCTCGAGGATTAGAGATTCAATATAGACACTCACCTTCCGCTGAGAAAATAGAAAACGCTTCTTAAAATACAGTCGTCTTGAAAGTGAATAAATCAAAGGCAAACACCATCCCAACCTTGAGTTGTCACCTTATCGTGGTAGTCTGGCACCAGTTCTGTAATAGTCCTGCGAGTCACGCTAACTGGAACCCTTCGACGGACTACGATCAGCTGTAACACACTTTCGTTGCCTAACTTCCACGCTACCCGATGGAAGCACGAGGACTGGGATACTGCCAGGTTGCCCAAGCCTAGGCAGGGGAAGTCGAGAGGCACAGGTCGGGTTCGAACCAAGGACCTTCTGGTCAATAAATTCACGCTCCAACCACTTGAGCCATCTCGTCCATCTCGACGGACTACTATGACAAGGCACTCATAAAATGCGGGGAATGGGAAATTCCCTAGCATGAAACTTGAGCTCCCTCACTGAAAACCTGATACTGTTTCCAGGCTTTACGGTCAATCACTAACTAGAAACGTGGTCCGAGTAGGGTTCCTGGCTACAGCAGGGCGGTTCACCAACCATAGGAGATGTATGCAAACGTAGTTAAGGCAGATTACGTGATTTAAAACAATGGTGATTGACATTCTTGTAACCAGGGTTGAACATTAGGAGTAAAATAAAATTAAAGTTCAAGGACGACGCCCGCTCGAACGTCGGCTGGAACGAAGCAAAACCGATGGTGGTATGTCAGTAGCAGCGAAGACCACGTGAAAACCATGAAAGGATCATAGTTGACGAGCAGCACTGGGACACAAATCTGCTCCATTATTCTTTTTTCAAAATGAACCTAGTCTGACAATCAGACAGGAAAGTACCAGGATGGAAAACGATTGAGAGATTACAATTGGCCAGTTAACAAATACCTAGCACCAAAGGGTGCTGTGTCCACGACAAATCAGGAACTAAGCATACTGATCTTCTCTCTATAGAGGGTACAAAGTGGCGTTTTCCACCGGGCACAGCCAAGTTTGCGATCCCTCGTAACTGTCAATCATCACTGCCTGAATGTGGTGTATGTTACTCAAACGTTCAGTATTAGGGGTTAACCGGGTGTTTAGCCTGAGTAAAATCAGACGGAAAAGCAGGTCAGGCGTTGATGAACCTCATTTTCACGGTATGTTATTTGTGATGATAATCAATGTGCCAGGGTAGGCCGGTTGACGCTCCTGAACTGCAAGTTGTCATTCCTAAACGTGAATAAAGAATGCTGTTGTGATACAGATGAAACAAAAAACCAGTCCACAACCACAGCTGTCAACACAAATTTCATGCACAAGACACTATTTGACACGTAGCTAAATTAAACAGATGAAGAAAGAAAACATGAGTAGACATTGACAGTTCGAAGCCAACTGGATGGATGAATGAACGTAACACTAAGAATGCTGGGTGGAAGCCGGCAGCTAAACCACTTAACTGCACAGAGTTAGCTATTGCAGCAGGCGATCAATTTTACTCGCGCGTGAATGATCGAAAGAAATGGCTAACGCAAGCGAGCTGTGCGAACACATCCATTCATCATTCCGCGATTTGAACTTGACGATGGTTTTCATGATGGGACCAGAAACCGTTTGAAGCTTCAGAATGTGCTCTACGTAGATGCTCAAATACAAAAAAGCTGTACATAGTTATTAACCTGTTTTTTGGTGCCCAGTCTAGCCGAGTTAACCTTGGTGCTGGTCCCACTGGAGCTAACAATCAACCCAAGGTAATATCGCTGTTTCAGAGAACAATCTCCAGGAAAAATGTAAAAACACAACACGTAGACACTATGCATGTCAAGCACGGAAACATACTGGGCCTGTTATCGCCGGACTGCAAGTCACTGACGGATGTCGTCGTCGGCTCTGTGTAGACGAACTCTTGTGGACATCGAATGCGGCCATGTTTCATTGTCTCCAACTCGATGTAACATCGCCCCGGTGGTCTGGAAGGCATATAGACCCGGATATCAGACTGGTCGGGAACGCCCGACTTTGAGTCCTGATGAAACCAATCCTGACGCTGTACACTGTAACCATCGATTAGCAAGGTCGCATACCGGACGATATCTTCGGTCACATGAGAACAAGTGATGGTCACCTCCACACCACCTGAGACAAATAGGTAGATAGCACACAAAATTTATGTGGCACGGTCATAATATCCAAACCTGAGTAATGCATAGTGATGGTTAAAAAACGGCCCGAGTGATGAGTATGAGACTTCATTTGCACTTTCCTCCGGATTTTTGCGTTAAGGATATATGCGGTCAAAAGATAAGATCACGTCGGTAGAACAGTCACGGAAAGACTATTGATTCTGTAGGGCCGCCTGCATTTTTTATCGACTCGATTACAAGGAAACGGGTTCTGGCAGTACGCATGTCAGATCAAGACATTTTAGCTCGAGTAACAAACATGGTCATAGAAAAGATGTAACCAGCCACTGGATCCAGGAGTACCTGGGAGTCTGGTAGTTGCTGAGAATTGTTGAACTCAAGTCTGCCAACGTGTCATGCTGAACATTAGGAGTTCTGAGTTGCTGGTCAAATTTCCCTTTTCATCTTTAACATCCTGAAACATTAGCTTTCGGTTCAACTTGTTTTCCTAAACATGCGATCATATTCTTAGTTATGTTTAGTCAAACGGCATTGCTTGAGGATTAGACGAAGCTTTCACGGAACTGCGGAGCTCACATCCACCTGGTAAAACAGTCGATCACGAATTCTAGATTCATAAAACATTCCTTGATTTGAACAGAACGATTTGGGTGACTTTGTGTTATCTGGGTTGGCTTAGCGCTGAGACGTTTTTGAGCCATAACATCAAATACTGTGCCGTGTAGAGCAGATAACGACGATGACCGGATGATAGGCATTGTCATGTTTCAGCATGAGGGCTGAAATATTACTGGGTTTTCCGGCCGCAGACAGGGGCAGTAGAGATGAAGAGGTTGGTTTCGGACCACAGGCCTTCTGGTCATTAAGATCGTGTCTTAATCGCTGAGCTATTTCGAGCACTATTTTATCTCCTAGTTACCTCAGTGATAGTTATTGTTAGTAGTAGTCGTCGTAGCAATAATAGTAATAACTAATAAACGTTTAGGTGCAGCATCGTTTCGGTGAATAGCTAAGAAGCAACTCGAAGGGAGCGCAAGGACTGAGATGCAGTCGGGCTTCCAAAACCTAGACAGGATTAACAAAGAAACCACGATCTCACATTACTCTAGGCTTTTCCGCAGATAAGTGCCCACAATATTTGCTCCATACGGTACAAGACGCCATAGAGTGGACAGCACAATACTGCCGAAGCAAGGCATACTGCGGTCACTCATTCAGTTTGTAAAATATTTTTGTGCACATCGCATCCTATTCAGACTGACCAAATACAGTTCCTATTTTTATTGTTTACCGGGATACTGAAAAATCGGAAAGTCAAGAAACACCACGGTTTCCAAAGCCCTAAAAATCAACGTGGTAAGAGAGAGGGCACGGGAGTCAACTGATTCGATGGAGTTGGATGCAACACGACAGGAAAGCTATCACCAGGATTAAGTCAGGCAGGAACTGGTTTGTGGCTCACAAAAAGGTGAAACGCATAGTTGGCTGCATGGACCACATGAGCTGAGACAAAACATTTACAGCTCAGAACAGGAACACCTTAAACCTGTCAGCGTTCGTTGCCAGACGGTCCCTGTCTCATCTGATTTGTTGCGACCATCCATACACTAAAACCCTTGATCTGGTTCATTGCGTCGTTAACATCACTTTTAGCACTTCAGTCATCATTTTTTTCATTCCGCTAAGCTTTGCGAATACCGAAACCCATGCCTAACCACGAACCAGTGGGATTCAAGAGATAAAATCGATCATGTATCCAGCACGTGACCACAAGCCCCTAGGGCCAAGAGACACCATTTGTTAAGATGTAAGAAAGACAGAATGTACTGTTACCGCCATTCCAAAGAAAAGTTAAAAAATTGAGGGAAGAAGTACAGTTCGCAGAGTAGACAGAGCGTGTATTCTTTTCGTCCATGGATAAGGGACTATTTCGCCGTTTGTATAAAGGGTATTCTAGCGAACAGGTACGCTGAACAAAGCCCCTGAAACCATAATAAACACATACAAAAATGAGCCCCACTTGCTCCTCCCATAAGAGCCTTTTTGATAAGCAGCATATGTCACAGATGCTTTTTCGACACGGTGAATACAGTTCAGACAATAAAAACTTATTCATCTTACCCTCGGTAGAACAAGAGTTTGGCTCGATCGAAATCAATGCTGGTTGCGATACGGAGTCATTGGCCACACTGCTCCGATTAGCAGATGGGGCGTAGTCTATCTTCAAAGGGTTGCCTGATAAGGAAGATGGAATGGACTGACTCACACCCCCGCCAATAGATGTGCCGGTACCACTACCGGTCAGATGAAAAGAAGAAATGGGCCGAAGGAGGTCACTTCCGGTCATGTCACTGCAGGCTCCAAGTACGCTGCCATCATGATCGTCTGTCACGGCTACAGCGTGAATGCAGTGGGTAGAGGAATATACGACCAATAAGATAACAACACACAAGATGTCTGAGACTGATTGAACGTGGAATACAGATGGTCAAAGGTACGCTGTCTTAATGTGAATTCACGCAACGTACTAAAACGTATATCAATACATGGCGGATAAGCACAAGCAAAAACCACGTAAATGAATAAACTGGGGTGTATAGTTTTAAGGCTAATTAAGCCCAAGCACTGTCACCTATATATCTGTGCAAACAGATTATATTATAACCAACCAAATAGTTCTGCAACAGTGGTATCTCTGAGCACCAGGGAGGCGTTATTGTTACCATCAGTAAGAATGATTCCCATCACAGTCCACGTACACTTTCGGATTTTATGCTGCAAAGAATAAAAAACCCACAAGTCCCGTACACCTGTTTTAGCGTCGTCGGAATTCATCAACAGAGGCAGTCTCTCAAACCCGCAACATTCTGACTACGATTAGAACGCCAAGGTTCCGTGGATCAGCGTTGGAATCTATTCAAACCTAAGCAGGGCAGAAACCCATACTTAATATTATATCAGATGATCTAATGTTGGCTGGTTCCTCTCATATTATTGTCTTACGTATCGTCAATTTGCAAGTAGCACAATGCATAACGCTTAAAGTTAGGTAATCGACGGTGAGCATCCCACGAGAGGTTCGAACCGGCACCATTCTGAGGAAAAAAGGCACAAACACCGTCGGTCAGCTATAAGTGGTTGCTTAACTTGCATCTGAACAGGATATAGCACTCAGGAACCTTCAGTCACAGTTTATATCCCGTGTTCTGGCTTCCATTAGCTCCTCAAATAAAGAATTCTCTGGAAATTCCGAGCAGAATTTACGACCATAGCCCTTCAAAGTTGGTCGATCAGCATAATGCCTGCCGCAAGCAAAATAGACACACGCATGAACAAATTTACACCTAAGTCACAGCGGGAGGGGAGGAGTATATGAGAGATTTGTTCTTTAGCCGGAACAGTGGGCCTAATTTTAGTGCACACATACTCGTTTCTGGGTGCAAACAACTATTGACCGAGATCATTATAAAAAGCTGGACAGTATTGGGCACAGGAAAGGCGATATGCATTGCAAGGCATTACCGTCAAAAGAGCTAGCGAGCGCGGGGGAAAAACAACCAACCATCAACGAAGCGGTAAGGGTAGCATGTTTACAACTTAAAATGACCAAGCACGCAGACAGGTAAAAACAGGCGAAACGGTAGATATGGTGGTGAACAACGACGAGTCATTCAAGGCTTGCTATTATGCTAGTTGCAAAGCTGTCATCACCTGGTAAACTACTCGACGACCGTGTCACCGATGGGAACCTAGAGTGAGTATTAGCGTCCGTAACTAGCGAAACTGATTCTGGTCAAGTTAGTTAGGGTGTTTCCTGACCCCCACCTTAAGTTCGAAAGTTAATGAGATTTCCATAAAAATGAGAGTAACTTAAAATCCACCTTAAAATACGGTCCCGAGTAATACGACAAATTGTTTCAGAGATGAGAAAACAGGTATCCCATGGTTTAGTTGCACGAAGTTGCTGTCAATAGAATGATTCAATGATATAGAGGACTGTTTTCGATGAGGTGATTGATACACGAAGCAATCGAGCATTTAATTCGGAGGCGATATTTCATCAGTTTTTGAATGATTTAGCTTAAATTCGAAGCCGACCCGCAGAGTAGTGTCGGTTTCTCACTCCTTATCACAACCGCACGATAAGAGCCGTAACATTCTTTCGGTGCCTGTTTCCCACGTTACCCGAAGGAGTCACGAGGGCGGAAATACTGTCGGGTTGCCCAAACTTATACAAAAGCAGTAGACATGCTGAGGTTGGATTCGAACCCCGAGCCTTCCGAGCCTTCGAGCACCTAACCCTGACTATCTCGAGCTCGTGTGCTAAGTGTTTAATGCGAGAAAGGAACTCCTCCAGGGAGTGACCCAGTCACTCAAACGATCCTTTATACAGAGAACGCTCCAGCTCAAAACCAACAGAGAAATCCACGAAGGGCTGTTTTCTGGCTACGCCACAGCCAATTAATGAATTCCTAACGTTTAAAGGTTCAACAAGTAAACTAACACCAAGACGTCGATGTGGTCGGCCTACACATTGTTATCACCGAAAACGATTAGTGGTTCACAAGAATGTAGACGACTGAGTCATTTATGAAGTTCTTTTTAGTTTGCCAACCATACAACATAGTGTCACAGCGTACAAAAACACTGCTTTAAAATCACCTGAGGGTTTGGATCTGAAAATTCAGGGCCTATAAATCATGCGGTGGTTCACGGTCTACTGTTTTCACAGGTCGATGGCATCAAGTGATAATGCTCAAGCGATAAGGATGCATACGCATCATCATCAAGAATAGACGAATTGCTGGACATCTAATTTCACGGATTTTACTTCGATATGGAACCGGGATAATCTTAAACTAGAGGTGGTGGGTAAATATGACAGCGGTGAAACCCAGGCAGAGGCACTGCAACATCTGCAGGTGTTCACAAATGCCACTGATCTCGGGAAAAACATCTAAACTTTTCATAAAACTGGCAACTCAGAGCGCACTGGTAGTGTGCGACCACCATTAGGTCCCATTGTATATTTCGATTCGACTGGCAAAACCGTCAACAAAAATAAGCGTATGAGGAAATTGAACTGTGCTAATGAGCTATCTAATGGCTTCCCATACAAAATAAACCGGAAGTGAAACAGTACGTGAGACAGAATAAATACCTGCAAAATGTTGACTTGTGTCAAAATAAACCTTTATTCAAAAGTATGTTCAGGGATCGACATAGATCAGTTGACTCTGAGATAGCTCAGAGGCTAGGACACGATTTTACTAACCGGGAGATCCGTGGTTCGAATCCAATCTCCGTAGCTCGACTGCTCTCATGTAGGCTTGGGAAACTCGGCAGTATTTCAGCCCTGGTGCTACCTTCGGGTGGCGCGGAAACGTGAAACCCGAGTGGGTGTTACGGTTGAACGATTCTTATCAATCATTTGGGTTTATGTCGACAATATATTGATGTCTGAAAGATGACCTCCTCTCGTGAAACCATTTTTTTATATTCAGAAGTGGCTTTAATCGAACGCCCAGATAAACTGGAAGCAACCACGCGAAGTAAGTCATGACCAAGTACAGGTGCGAATGCCAAAAAGGCTACTTTATCTCGATCAGATTTCTCGTAGTTTAGGAGTGCGAATCCCTTAGGTACAGTTACCGTGAAAATCGGTTACTTCTGGAGATACTTCAGTACAAAGCACACCATATATGGTCAAGAGAACAACTTACCCGTGGGGTCAAATATGCTGCGTGCACGTAGATTGGAAGAACTGTCATGAACACCCTTTACGGCAAGCGACGGTCTCTGGGACAAATCGGCCGTTTGCTTCAACAGATCTTTCGTACCATGCTTTTTCTTGAATGGATGCTTCGATTTCTTTGCTTTATCATCGATGTTTGTTGAGGCGATGCTCAGCATGCTGCCCTGATAGTTTAACGAGTCCGCCACAGACGCGGCTTTATGACTGTGTTTGTGACTGAAATTCAGTAAATCGACAGGGAAGAGGAGGTGGAAAAGATCAGCGAAAATCGAAAGAAACTCATACGAAGGACAGAATGAATGCTCATAGACTAAAAAATAGGCAGTAAGAAATGGGAAAGTTCATTGTTTCCGGCTCGTTCGTATGTATTCGTACTGACCGCGGAGGTAGAAGATTATAAATAAAAAGTAACTCGTCCAGCTGTAACATCCTCTGGTGCCTAGCTGCCATGTCATCCGAAGGAAACACTAGGGCTGGTGTGCTGTCAAGTAGCCCAATCCTACACAGGGGAAGTCAAGATCCAGAGATCGGGTTCGAACCATGGACCTTCCGGTCAGTTAAATCCACGCTCTAACCACTGAACCATCTCATCCAAAGGTTACAATGAACCATCGCAACAAAAAGTTATCAATCACTGTCCTAGGAATGCGCCTTCGTTGAGTAGGGAGATTTCCGCAGGAAACACAACGGTTTTCTTTTCCCAATAGGGAGGTACCGAGAAAGACTTGGAACTCGGAAGTAGAAAAAACAGAACGTCCTATTGCTGTCTTCCAGAACAAAAGCGCTGCTTCAATGGTCTTCCAATGACGAGTGATACATCAATTTTGTCTGGAATAATCTGACTACTCGGTGGTAGAGTGGAATCACTCATTTGATATGTATGCCGGATGTACGTAAACCATGAGAACTTATAAAGGATTTGTTGTTCCAAATGGCTCGCCTAAGTAGAAACATCGGAATAAGACATTAGAACTTAAAATGTGCCGGGAATTATGGATCCTGTATGCGAAATCAGTTTCTGAGAACAAGTTGACAGCCTAGGCCTGGTAGACACTGCAGGCTTCTTCATCGGCTCTAACCACCAAACACCTTCTACATCGTACCTGTCTATCCACAGAACTTTTTTGTTTAATGGCCTTCCTTGTGACAACGGCCTCTCCAATTGGACCACGTGGTTGTGTGCTGTTGTCGCAGAGTAAAGCTGTTTTCCCCTCCATAGCAAAACCGGTTCTCTTATACCACTTAATAGGATTTGGATCTACAGTGGTCGCCATTAAGAAGGGACACCGTGAGACGATAGGGGGGATTGAATCGGAATCAATCAAAGAGGAGTTGACAAACATTTCGGGAAAGATCACAGACAATACAGATAACAAATCAATCAAGAGGAAGAAGGTCAAACGCATTGGTGTTGGTGTTGATCTCTCACTGAAGTCAACAAAACAACAAAGCTGGTCGATTAAGGTAAGCATAAAACAGTGAGTCACGTGATGCGCGAGCTTTTAGAAGCAACGCGAATGTGCTCTCATTTACACATTGTTCGCCCACAAGTGGTGAGGTTTTTATCACACGTTCTTCGTCTCTGTCCACAGCGTCAACGCAAGAAGTGCTGTCATGTAAATTAGCGCACAGCTGGCTAAGAAACAATCTTAGTAGCAACTGTTCCGTCAGTTTCTAACCGCCTTGTCCTACAGAAACCAGCAGCACTTTTGTCTCTCTTTCCTGGATTACCCCACTTGGAAGACTCCGATGAAATTACGGGCTCTCTGTGGAATACGACCGAACGAGATTTTCTGACGTGTTATTTTGCGTTCGATTCTCTAGTCGTTAGATCAGCGAAACTGGGGACACAGAAATTTCTGGTTATCTTTACGTCAGACAGCCACGCAAACCAAATTGGTTTGCAAATGAGTGTATTTCGCTGATTTTGTGCAATTTGGGTTCAAGTAGAACATAAGTTTGACGGAAGCGCCTAACTGATGAGCCCCAAGAAGGGCAAAACCGGTCGTGGGCTGTCGAAGAATTTTCAGCAATCTTATGAGTAGTGTATTAGTCCATGTTATGGTCTGCAACACGTTTTCTGAAATAACCCTCTTCGAAGCCATTGTCCTGAAACAGCGCTTCCTTAGAGAAACAGTCTCACAGTGTTTCCACTACGTGTTCGCTGTATAGTCCATGTGAATAGGTCAAGGTAGCCACCCTACACCACCAGCTTTTCCGAGATAACGTTATCTCAGAGTAACAGAAGTCAAACACTGAACGCAGCCGAGACTACAGAAAAACCCTGAGCAGTTCTGTGTCATACACTACCCTATGCAGAAACTCAACTCTGCGAGACTAGTTTCTCCCAAAGTAATACAGTGAGAACAGAGTAATGGTCATTTAACACAGACAAGTATGAGCTGTACAGTAGCCAAACATTCCCTCTGTGCGTCAGAGAAGGATCACATGACGCCAAACAGTTAACTACTTGAATGAATAGGCTCCGTTGATAATCAGAGCGGTAAGTCTGGCAGATCAGTTGCACAAGTGTGCATGTGATCGAATCGAATCAGTAGTGACAGCTGAAAGCATGAATGCATGATTAGTATGTTGTATGCAAAAAAAGGGTGCCGCGATATATTCTTTTCATGTCGGTGACCGCATGTATAATTGTGCATACTGATTCACAAACTGAAGTATGCTGGCATTTGTCCTTCATTAATTGTGTCGAATGGAACAGATTTCAGTAGTTCTCCACCTAAGTATGCACAAATGACTGACGCGCAATGGCGAGATGTGTTCAAACTCGAAGAGAGAATCTTAATTATCAAATAAAATTTGGTTCATTTGAGTTAGCCCCTTCAAGGGATATTGGTCACACGAAGATCCTGGAAAGCTTTTGGAAAACAGCTCACTCATGAGACATGTCGTTTTCACTTCGCACAGGAGTGGCTTGCAGTGAAAAAAGGATCCTTAGTCAGAGGCGCCCTGCAAGAATGGCGGACACCAAACAGATCATAAATATTTTTAAAAATAAAACGAAGAGGCACTAGGAAATAATCTAATGCGTAGAAAACGGAAGGCGTACGAGTAACGCATTGTACAATAAGCGGAGTTGTGAGAGTTTAAAGATAACGGGAATTTTAAAGCAAAAGGGAAGCTAATTCCAGAGGCAGAAAGTTTTTTTTGGGGGGGAGGGAATGAGGGGGAAATTGGGTCTGGCTGACAAATAGGGGCTGTAACTTGATATGAGTAAACAAAAGAGAATGTGCGTGCGTTCGATTCCGTCGATCGGTCATTGCTGTCAACTGCACCTGCTCAACAGGGTGTTCAAGAAATCTGGGAACATAATCAGATCCCTATATTCACATGCCTCTGAGCATACAAGTGTATGGTGAGCTCTCCAAAAACTTCCGTACAAAAAGTAGTGTCCGACAAGGATGACCACACTCTTCGTTCTTGTTCAACTTTATCACTGGTGAAATAATGAGGCGCTGTGTTCGAACTTCCATGATATATGCTTGAAAATACAGTGATTGTGGTCAAATTAGCTGGAATTGAATTGCATGAACCGGAATTAATTCCATAATTGGATGGAATTGTGGAATGAAAGATCCCAGTTTCACCCTTAAACTTGCTCTGAAAATCCGAGAGACACCGTACAGCTGTTTCGTTTATGTTGAAAAACGCATCAGTAGTACCATTCTCTAGGTTGATCCAAACCCCACAACCTTCTAGGGTAAATGTTGAACACTAATGGTGGTGGGTTGATCAGGAGTGTGGATAAAGTAGAACAAAGCGTCACTCGGCTTCAGCAACACATTCACGCATCAAGTAATTCAGTGTTAACTGACTGCGTTTCATTTCTTCTCACAGGTAGCCATAAGTACGACTGACACCCGAAGAGCCAAGGACTACTCATCCATTCGGGCCTGATGAAGCTGAGAAATTAACATTCCCCTTTAAACCAGGGCGTCAAAGCCTCAAGAAACCTGGTTCCTGCTGAAATCGCCAATCAAATCGAGAAAGGCAACATATCGTGTGATCGAAGGCTGAATTTGAAGTAAGCCTACTAACAGAATGATTTTTTGGAACACTCCTGTCAAAACACGATGGGCTGCTTCAATACCTTCAAAGTCGGTTATTACAGCTAACAATGATGATGATGATGATGAGCGCTAATACTCAGTGACCATAGGCGTACACACACATACCAGGCAAAAACAGTGAGAGTACACATTAAGTTGGAGAATATCATAGACAAGAGACTCAGCTGGATTTCAGGTGAGTCTCACGTGCAAACCAAATTGATATGCAAATGAGTACACTTGTCAAATTTCGTACAGTTTGGGTTCAAGTAGAACATAAAGTTGAGTGAAATAATTGCCTACCTGATGATCCCCAAGTATGGCGAAAGTGGACGTGGGCCGCCAAATAGGTTTCAGCAACCATACGAGTAGTTTCTTTTATGAAAAGTCATATATTTGTACGTTCCACAACCGTGCGCATTTCGCCTAGAAGTTTTAGTGTTCATTAGACAGAACTGCTCCACTTCATATATCCCAGTTGCAGTTTAACATCCGCGTTCAGTTAACGCAATGATGCAGCGTTATAGTGTTCCTTACTCTCTTCTGTCGCTTTTCGCGAACAGATGTTTCGAATTTCGTAGTTTCGATACCTATTCATCAGTCAAATCGCCATAACCTAGTGTACAGTCGTTCCTCAAAAAGGGATACTCGTGAAGCCTTCTGATTGGGGACCTTTATTTGATAAGAATGACTAAACCATTAGCTTCATGTAACGGTCGAATGAACCTTGAGCTAAATATTCATTATTTTAAGAAATCCATTATGTTTGTAGTTTGCATTGCTTCCTCTGTATGTGGCAATTAACATGGGATGCTACTGGGAACCCAAATGCCCAATTAGTTCGCAGGGTCCCGTTACCTGAAATGGACGTTCTGCAACTTTTCTCTTGTTCCTTGAATAATTTTACTGCCACCCTTAAGGCTGTTTGTTTATTTTTCCTACGATTTACCACCACAAACAGAACAGTAATTACGATACAGTGGACAAAAAGTCCCTATAATGCTCATTACGAGTCACTTCACTGAGCTAGAAATCGCTCACCGATTAAGGCGTGAAACTAATGACCGGAAGGTATGTGCATGAAAATCCAACTCGTCTTCCAACTGTTCATGTAGAGGCTTGGGCAACCCGCCAGTACCTCAACTT